TTACTTGTTACTTGAAAAAGTAATCGGATTACAGTAACGTGTTACTTGCCCATCTCTGCTTGTATGTGACACAATATAAAAGGTGGATGTATGTGTATTTGGGTACTACGCAGATTGTTTGTTTGGTTATTGTCCTGTCTCAACTCCATCCTCCACCCGCACACATTTTCCTTCCAAGATAATAATTAATAAGTTCTTATTTGATAATGAAGTAGCCAACTGGAGTACTGCAAAAGAGGAACTCGCTTACCTGGATAGTTCAAGGACTCCAGAGATAAGCCATGGCTTCCAAGACTGTTTTCCAAAGAGTCCAAGGCAGAGTACTGCAGTTGGGAAGAACTGATTTAAGGAAAATTATAATAACTTCCCACAAGAGCAAAGTGCAGCCATCTGTAAATGGATATTTATATGAGGCCAGAAAGTCTGAAAACCTTGAACTGTTCCAGGACTGAGTACTTAACTGCTTCACACTGATTCTCACTCCGGCTCGCAGTCTGCCATCTAGAGGTGACGGTGATATTGCAGCTTTCTGAACCACAGTGTATTTCTGTCAAAGCTGTGGTGGTTTCACAGCAAAGTGTCATTTTAAAAATGTTTTGAACTGTTTTTTACTGACATGACAAATATGAATGGACATGAAGGATGTATAAAAATGTTTTCCACTGTTAAAAAACAGAAATGTTCAAAGGCTAAGAGCGAAAGATGGCAATTGTGATTTTAAATAAATAACACTGGTCCACACAGAGGATGCTACAAAATATGTTTGTTTTTAATCTTCTCTAAAATATTATTAATGCAGTGCAGTTAAAATATCTGCTCTTACTCCAACTGTAAACTTCACACTGAACTTTCTTGTTCTCGAGTGTCACCAGTGGTGTGTTTGTCCTGAGGTACACGCTTTGGCTGTAAACGTCATCCCCACCTCGTTAACTGTTCACCTGCCTCAACGTAAGAACAGCAAAGATCCCACTGAAAGCACAAAGTCCAGCTGAACAGAATCAAGCTTCTGGGATTTCCTTACCTGGATGATTGAGCGCGTTTAAGAAATATCAGGAATAACAGAACTTTTGTTTAAACAGGTGAGGCAACACAGAGAGAGGAAGGTAAGGATACGGTGCGCCAGGGGTCGTGCGATGTACACAGACTCAGCAATTGTCTCTTGGAGCCCCAGAGGTGTTGGTTGGCTGTTGAGTGTTTCCTTTAAGCTGCTCCTTTGCTTTTTGTGACTCTGTGCTCCCCAGAGCCGGGTCTGCAGCGAGGGAGCTGCCACATCACCAACACGGGACAGGTCATGCACAAAAAGCACAGAGTTAGAGGTGCATCTTTATTCCGCCTCCTGACACTCGCTCTACAACATTTGCGGATTTTCCTGTCTAACAGCAAAGTAAAAAAATTAATGAACAATGTCTATTACTTTAATCTACAGGACAGAATGAAGTTCATTAAAGGTTTTAACATGAAGACATTTGGTCACTTTTTTGTTTCAGTTACAAATTCAAATCAACATTTTTGAAAACAAGCAGCAAACAAAAGAAGAAAAAACTGTTTGTTTCTTTTTTTCTTTTTAGAGTTTACCACAAAAAAGTTCAGGAATACTTCACATAGCATTGTATAAGTGTTTACTGCTAAAACAGCTGACTATCTATGAACAGGTAATGCAATCAGCCAGTTTTGTAAACCCCTTAAATTAAAGCTGAAAGTCAGCAATTCAATCAGATCTTGAGGACATATTCGAGGAGACTTGTGGGGCTAAATACAATAACCCAAGTTCTGTCTGAATTTATAAGAATTTAAAGTCTGCCTACACGACTTCACCACCCAATACATCACATTGATATATAGCAGAAAACTGGCCAGACAACAGAAGAAGCTGAATCACAGTCGTTTATATGCACGGTGAAGATGCTGAAGGAAAATTCAAAATGAAATAAACATCAACATCTGGGACAGATAGAGGGGAACAACATGGAATGGATCTTAAATCAAGTGAGGAGGTGATATGAGCTAACAAAGAAGCTTAAGGACAACCTGGTGTTAGTCGGCATTAAGAGATTTCTCAGAAGCCGGCCTTTGTTCAGACAGAAACTGGATATTTTCAAATACCACACCAGCAGAGTACCACAGGATTTGGTTTTAGGCTTAACTGTCAGGCAGCTTGAATCTTAAGAGGTTAAAATGTTTTAAAGAGTTTAAGCCAAACTTACCACTGCCGAGCGGCCTAATGACTCGTCCTGACCTCTGGCCCACAAAGCAGGTGTCTTCCTGCTGCTCTGTGTTACTTTCATCTATGGAGAAAAGCGTTAATTTAGCCTTCACGCACAAATCACAGAGCGGGAAGTGAGAAATGTCATTCGTTTGTGTGCTTTAAGGAAGGATTCATTACTTTTGAGGGAGTCTCTGAGCTTTAGCATACAAGAAGCGCTGCTAGCACGTGTTTACTTTATCAGGCTCTTGCCTTTATTTACTTATTTAGCCCAAGTTACTCAGTTAGTTTCAGCAACTGGGCTAAAATGCTCCCTGCAGCTCACAATAGAAATGCTAACAGTCAAATGTGACAGGATTCTGGAGCCATTATGAATTCACATCTGGTTTTACATTCTTCAATTCAAAACAAAACGTCTCACAGTCATTGAAGGTGCAGGCCATTTTATAAAAGACAACTGACCTTCACCAGAAAAGTCTCCACCTCTGTCAAGGGGGATTATGGGAGGTGAAGTCTGGATGCCAGATTTGTACCACAGAAGAAGCACAATCCGAAAAACTGCCCTGTGAAGGAGTCACATAAAATGTCTGTAAGTTCTCAGTCATCCAGGTGGAGTCCTTTGACAGCTACACTGTCATGTTGAAACAACCACAAAGATGGAACACCGTTTGTCTAACACAGACTATATTTTGTGCCTATGCATTAAAGCAATAGGCACAGAAGGAAAGCTATTGTCCTCCTTTTGAACATGTACAGTAATTTTTACTTTTCCATTTTCCAAAAAAACAACTTAAAATGTAGCCAGTGCAAAATCAGTATCAGTGTTTTTATCATTTCAAATTAAAGTCAAGTTTCCAAGCCATACTTAAAAATCTGAATAAGTCCAATGACAAGCCATCGTCCAACTTCACCCCACAGCTTACAGGCCCCCATCTCCAGGAAGACCTCCACATACTCCAGCACAGACAGCCACGTCAGGAGCCTCTGTTGAGAGATGGACTAGAAACACCACAACACAAAGGATGGACGACTTATTAGATGAAAAAGGATGAAACCCTCACTTCTTCCCAGAACAACATCCTGTGCACAGTTTCTGAAGTCTTTGTATAGTTTCTTTACTGAAGGAAACCGTACAGTAAAAGATGGATGCAGCCATGGTGATGTTAGCCATTGGTTTCTCAGCCCATCTATTTGAGCCTCAGTGTTAGTGTTTTGGTTGCCGCAATGTTAGCTTTAAAAACCAGAAGTTAACATATTTGGAAAACAGGGTGGAGTGCTACGTCCTCGGCTCACGCTAGCAATGGTTACCAAGCTGCATTCTGAAAGCCGTACAGAAGGAACAGGCAGGCACACTGCTACTCATCACAAGCCAAGCTTCTTGGATGAGCTTTAGCACAATTTAATCACCCGACTATAGTGTTTATGAAGGGAGTACAAAAGTATAAGGACCAAAAACTACTTTGTACCAATCTGGTTTACTGATCATTTGATGCCGGGCATTATGGAGCCTTTGGAATCAGCCTTAAGCAGCTACAGCTGGATATTCAGACACATATTTAGATGAGAAGGCCTGGCTCACAGTCTCCGCTCTAATTTATCCCAAAGGTGAGGTCAGGACTCTGTGCAGGCCAGTCAAGTTCTTCCACACCAAACTCACTCATCCATGTCTTTATGGACCTTGCTTTGTGCACCGGTGCGCAGTCATGTTAAAACAGGAAGGGGCCATCCCCAAACTGTTCCCACAAAGCTGGGAGCATGAAAATGTCCAAAATGTCTCGGTATGCTGAAGCATTAAGAGTTCCTTTTAATGAAACTAAGGCGCTGAGTGCTTAAAAACACCCGCACACCATAATCCCCCCTCCACCAAACTTTACACTCGGCACAGTCCATCAGACTGCCACCGCTCTAGTGTCCAGTGGCAGCGAGCTTTAAACCACAGAATTCAATGGCCTGATGGGTAAGTGAATACTTTAGCAGTACAGTGTATTTGTCCCATTGTGCTCTGGTAAATCCTATAGGGTCACTAAAACTATAAAAACTGATCATGGTAACAATAGACTAAGACCATAAGTTTTTTAAGCATCTCTTTAGAATTTCTAGTTTTTATTGCTGCACCACAAAGGACAGCCATTTCAATTTGACTGCACTCTTCTGCAAAGAGAGTAAATGCTTTTCTTTTCTACTGTACTGTGAGAACTGATTTTTGTTTGAATGAAAGCAGAGCTCACCACAGGGAAGGTACATCTCAGCCCTTTGCGCAGAATGTGGTCATTGAATAGCACCAGGAGATTGGAGGCAGAGTACACTAAAAAGATACAAAGTGACGACGAAAATATTTGAATAGTACACACCTATATACAGCATGTTCATTTGTGGACACATAATGCTTAGAAAACTGAACAGAATGCATAGTGATAATATAACCTGCAAAGTTTCCTCACCGCTCAATGTTAACATCAAATTATAGTCCATTATTATTCTCAAGTAAGTACCCTGTAATATAATTAATCTGCAAACCATTTATGTCCATTATGTAAAAAAATACTTCAAAAAGTTGTATAATGCTAAAAATAAATAGATGTTTATTTTGTTTCGTATAATGTTTTGGCGCACAGGCTGGGGGAGGGTCACCATTCTCCAATCAATGGAAAACAGGACATAATCTGGGATTTGAGAGAACATGATGTCCCTCCTGAGATCTCTGAGCCTTCTGGCTTTTCAGAATTTATGTATTCATTCATATTTCTTCATTCACATGGCAAACTCCTAATATATAAGGCGTTGATGCAAGAAAGAACTAACTAGTCTCTGTGTTGGTCCTTAACATCTACTTACCTAGTTCAGATATTTCATGGGAATCTGTAAATCTCCCTGCAAAATACAAACAAAGAAACAAAGAAAGAAAACATGCCGTCATTCATTTTGCACTGCACGAGCACTTGTAGCTAGTGTTGCCGAGCTAAAGTGAAACTAACAAGAGATCAGGAGAGTTCACCTCCCAAAAAACAATCATAAGTCCAGTTGAGCTTTTGCATTACTTCTAAACAGAGAACCTTAATCCCAACACACTGTATATAAACCTGCTGCTGCGACTGACCTGCGAGCAGGTAAGAGACAGTGCGCACGGTACTCTCCAGCTGCGCGGTGGCAGCTGGGTTTCTCCTCACGTACTCCGTGTAGCGCTCATAAATGCGCGTCACTTTGTCCAGATACTCCTTAACGTGAGACATTTCAGCTTTCTCTGAAAGACACACCCTGCATTTAACCGCTGTGCTCACAACAGACCAGCTAATCTACTTGTGTGACTTCTTACTCCTGTATTCCAAAAGTATATCGTAAACGTCCGCTTCTTCTTCTTCTTCTTCTTCCGCCTGCCATTGCTTTTTATTGTCTGTTGGCAAACAGCGAAACGGTGCATTACTCCCACCAACCGGTACGGAGTGTGGACCGAAAAGTAAATGTCTTTCAATATGATCCAGATCAGAGGATTTAACCATCAGTGTACCGAGGAGGAGGTTTTGGAGTTGAACTTGTCAGCACCTGACGCTCCTGTTAGTGTAATATAAGATGTTCAACAGTTTCTTCGTCTCCACAGTAATTACTTTTTCCTGTACTGCGTTTCCATGTTATAAATAATGTTCTGTTTAAACTAGTGTGCCCACGTCTGAGTCTAATATGACCATCCTCTCCTGCTCCTTCCTGTTTCTCATTTTTCATAGATTTTCTTTGAACACATGAAAGGCAGTCCTGTTCGTTTAATAATCCTCATCGGTGGATGTCGCATAAAAAGTTAGGACGCGTGCCAAAGTCAGAGGTTAAAAGTGGGACTGTGTTTTTTGTTTTGGGGGGTTTTGCCACAACACCAGAATGACTGCAGGTGTCCCTAAGTTGCGGTTGTGGTACTTCAGCATGTACCTCTAGTGAAGAGGAGCATAAAGAGAGTGAGATTGTTTTAAGTGGCAGGTAATTTCAAATATAGCATTTCTATCAGCTCAACAAAAATCAGCCAACACACAAACTGTTTGTGTGAAGTTTGTCTCACAGGTCCAGCTGCTGCATCTCACAGAGAGAGAGAAAAAAGAGAGCCAACTTCACTCAGAGATGGAGAAAGCTCGGAAAGACAGGACACGACGGGAAGAAGAGAGGTCAGATCTAAAGGTAAGGACTGCTAAGTGATGTTTGATGAACTGGAAATTTGAAGCTTAAAGAACAGTGTGTGACTGGTGCACAGTAGCCGTGGGTTCATGGTCAGAGTTAGGTTAGATCAAGTCAGTAGCGGTTTTTGATACGGGCGACACGGGCGGCTGCCCGGGGCGGCATCACGGGCATCAGCAAAAAAAAAAAAAATTGCTCGTACTCATTGTTGGAGCTATTTGTTCTTTGTTTTTGTTCTTATTTTTTAAATTAGTTAAAGTTTGTTAGTTTACTTATATTTTGGGGTTTATTTGTCGGTTAATATTTTGTTTTAAATTATTTGTTTGTTTGTTGTTATGTTGTTAAATTAGTTAGTAAGAGCTGTAGGGCCATTTTGTTTCTATAAATAAAGAGACTGGTATAGGACCAGCATGCATTGGGGTGGGCCTATGGTTTTTTACCAGAGCAGGAGAAGCAGCAGGAAGGATCTTGTTATTGCTTGCCAAGATGGATAAATAAACCAAAACCAAAACTCTCAACTAAAATGTTTGGACAATGGACTTCTTTTGCCTGCGTACGAAATATTACCTCAGTGCAGCAGTGGCTTGTGGACTTTAAGTTGTGGGACGTTTGATCATTCAAAAGTAAAGGAATTGCCACTACACTCATGCTGCCCCGACGTCAGCCAGCGCATATTGGGAATGGTACAGGCACCGATTGGTTTTCTATCGCCCATTTGCTGGGAGTAAGGGCACCCTCCGTTTGCGAGGTGCGCCTGCTGCTTGCGGCGCAGAGAGGAGAGGGCGGGGCGGCGGGGAGCAGCATCTAATAACCAACTCGCAAAATAAAACAAAATAAAAACAAACCAACAAACACGAAAACACCAGACATTATGATACAGACTTATAATTTGCACCGATGTTTTTTCGAAATTCTATACACGAAAAGTGAGCGCGAGAGCCCTCGGTGCGCCTGCTCGCTGCTGAAGTCAAAGTAAACTTTATTGTCATCTCCGCTACATACAGTCCAGTATATAGAGAGACGAGACGACGAGGCTCCAGTTACAGCAGTGCAAGTAAACAAACAATAAATATAAGAAGAGTAAGAAAATAAATATCACTTTAGGATTAGGGGTAAAGGGAGTGTTCGCCCAGGGCGCCAAACAGGCCAGGACCGCCACTGGATCAAGTGTAGCAGAGATTCAAATGAATTTTATCTGATGATCCACTGACTGAATTCCACCTTCATAAAACTTTATACCATTTAGAAAAAAGACTGCATAAACAAGATACTGTCAGTGTAGAGGATGGAAATCAGCCAGGACAACTCATGAAACACCTTGTTGAATTAATTTGTGTAAATCCACAAAGAGCAGCAGGTCATCTGATCACAGCCTATACACTAAGAAAATATACTGGAGCTCTCAATAGAAGTTATTGTGTTATTATACTTTTCCCCACATTGAGCCATTACAGCCAATTCTAGGGTTCCTCCACCTGCTGAATCCCACTTTAACCCCTGACTGTACCCTGTTTAAAGGCAACGTCACCCTCTACAATGTAGAGTCTACAATGTAGGCAACAAAAAATAGATATATATATTTTATTTTATTTCTTTTTTTCAGATTCTGTTTAACTATAGAATGTCGGTACTTTTCCACTGAGATTTAAAACCACATTCCAAGAAATAATTTTTTAAAATATTTTTCCAGCTCGTGCCCATATAACTTAAACTTGATTGATCATCAACTTTTCCTTAAAAGTTCTAGGATGCTGCTCTGTTCTAGGATGCCCTCTGGACCCAGTGGAGGTGGTGAGTGACAGGAGAATGGCGGCTAAGCTGTCATCCCTGTTGGACAACATCTCCCACCCCATGCAGGAGACTTGACAGCACTGAGCAGCTCCTTCAGTGGGAGACTGCGGCACCCACGGTGTGGGACGAGAGAGATTTCGCAGGTCTTTCCTCCCCACTGCTGTCAGACTCCATAATAAAGACTTTAACTGATCAGCACACTCATATGATCCACTCAACTCCAAAACCTCAACCCATTGCAATAAGACTGCTATATGTGCAATTCTTGTACAATTCTTCTTCTGACGAAGTTGTACTTTTGTATTTTCTTACTCAGTTGTATATAGCATTTGTATTTCTATTTTATTCTATTGTATATAGTATTTTATTTTATTTTATTGCATTCAGTGTTTTCTAATTTCTGCTACATAACTTTGCACACAAAACAAATTTCCCACACACACACACACACACACACACACACACACACACAGAACAAAAACAAAAAACATTGTCTAAACTTCCGCTTTGACGAGTGTACCATCATTTATGTCCGCCAGCTCTCAGGTTCAAACACTTTGGTTCCTATTCCTACCGTCGTTTATACGGGTTCTTCTTCCGGGCACGTTATTGTTGCATCAGCATCCAGCCTTTGATTACTGTGACAATGTCGGCTTCGGGAGATCCGGGTACAGTAAATAATATATGGTGTTTGCTTTATGGGTTCGTTAGTTGAAAAACCGCATAAAGCTATGACAGCACAACCTAACGCATTTTGATGAAGTGTCACAGCGAATATGCTAACGCTCAGGCTAGCTAATATGTAGAGCTGTGTCCCAAAGTCTGCAGTTGAGCCGCTTAGCTAAAGGAAACACTGTCAATGAGTGACAAGCCGAATTTCATATAAAAAATACAGCTTAAACTAATACTTAATACCTCGGCATAAACACAGGGCAGCAAATACTATTTAGCAATTTGTCTGCGTTTAAAAAAGGTAGCCTCATCTTCGGCTCATTTGTCCAGTCAAACAGGATGTTATGAAGTAACTACAGTTTATTCTCTTTTATTTGTTTATAGTGTTTTAGTGAACCTATTCCTGTGTGATGTGTGGGGTGTTTTTGTTGAACTGTGGTTTGTTTAAGTCTATGTTCGGGTTTAAGTTCCATCTTCTTTCGTGTCATCTTTAAGAAAATTATTAGCATCCGACAGTATCGCCTTTTTGTTTGATATTTTTATAAAGGTTTATGGAAAGCATTGAAATTATTATTATTATTATTATTATTATTATTATTATTATTATTATTATTATTACTACTAGTAGTAGTAGTAGTATAACTTAGCCTGTTATGAGAAACACTGTTAACGTTTTCAAGTGCTTACTGTGATTTTTACTCTCAGGTCAGTAATTTAAATTTTATACAGCACAACAATGAAATAAAACAGTCGAGGTGTGAATAAAGTGCAGACTTTCAGCTTCAAGTTAATAAGGAAATGAACCTAAAATAACTAAGAAATTGCTTATTAGTACGTTCCTAATTTACCTTTAAACCAGTGAAACCTGACCCTTTAAAACATTGGTAACATTAACAGTTTTACCAATATATTTGCTGTATTTATTTTCAGCCCCTCGGTTGATATAAAATGTGTTCCTGTCCAAATACTTGTTGACCTGCAGTTAGAATTACAGCTCAAATAGTAACACAGTATGAAAATCACGGGTTGCTTCTATAAGACATGTAACCTGCACCCTTAATTACATTTCTTTTCTCCATCTTTTGCTTTCTCCTGTTTCCACTCAGTGCTTGCACCTCTTTTGTTTTCTTATACATATATAAGGTTCTCTGTGAGTGGCTAAAGGCCAGTGTTATTCAGCATTAGTTCTGCTAGGCTATGTTTGGGTAGCGAGTAGTTTCATTTAACTCACTCATAAGTGCAGTTTACTTTGGACGTGTGCTGACTTTCCAACTGATCGAGTAATTCTTGGTTCTGACCAAAGTCATTAGTCTCATTGGTTATTCCACTGTCCAGTGGAGTAAGGTGGTAATTCTTTGCGAACATTTGCCCTCTTGTTTCTGCAGCCTTTGAGTATGGCTTCTTGCTACAGATAAGTGAGGAGGCTGCACTGACAGTGGCCCTGAATGACTACCTAACCTCACGCAGCTACCTGGCTGGGTTCAGCCCCACCCAGGTCGACCAGAAAGCCTTTAAGCTCCTCCACAGACCCCCAGATCCACAACATGTCCACGCTCTGCGCTGGTACAGACACATAGCAGCCCTGCAACAGGACCTCAACCCAGAAAGCAGCAGTGAGTAGAAAGCTGAAGGCATGAACAGGCTAGATGTGGTCCTGCGCCTGCTGGCCGTGGATGTGGAGGCACTCTGAGGCTGTAACGTGCCCTCTTAAACAAACTGACTCTCAGCATGAACTAAGGCTTCCTTTGCAGGCACTGGAATGAACTCTGTTTTAGCTTGCACTTTT